GGGGGCGGGGGCCGGGACCACGCGGGGGACGGGGCCGTGTGGCCGCTGCTCCACGCCGAAGTGGCCGCGCGCGGAGCCCGGGGGTGGGGCCTGTCTTCGTCTAGGCCAATGGCGAGCCGAGGTCCTGCGCGCCCGCCCAATGGTGGCGCGCGGGTGGGCGTTGCTAGGCAATAGGGTGATGGGACGGCGGGCGGCGCGGAGCTTCGAGGGCCCGGGCGCAAGCGCGGTCGTTGACCCCGTGGAAGGCGCCTCGGGCAGGGTTACTACCGGTCATTGAAGCCCCGCCGCCTGGGCATCCACCCTTGGTGCCGGCCTCGGAGACCCCGGCGCGGGCAACATCGGGGACCCGGACGTTGCACCCGCAGGGTAGCGCGTTAGCGGAGGGGTCTGCGCGGCCAACTGGCGAGCGAGGTCCGCCCCTCCCCGCGAGACGGGAACAAAGAAGCCGCGGGGCTCCTGGGATGCTGCTAGTTCCCGGCACCCTCTCTCTGCCTTCCTTGGGACTCCTCTGCTCAAAGACCTACGGAATTTGGGGGCAGGAGAGGACAAAACCCTGCAAACCAAACAGAAACGGACTGCCCAGCGTTGGGGTCCCTTAGCTCTCAACACCTGGTGACGTCCCCCTTAGGCCCAGGCCGCTTAGGAGATGCCTCTTTTGTGGCAGTAGTGTGTCCTAGGTGATTCAGTGGCCCCAATCGCCTCTCCTGCGAGGGGTTTGAAAAGGCCTAGCTACAGGAGGATGTGCAGAGCCTCTGAGCCTAGGATGTCGACCCTGGCTTCCTGCTGCTCCAGTCGGGCTGTCCTCCCAGGCTTGTATGTGGAAGGTGGCTCTGCAGACACTCACAGAACCCCAAGTTCTCCCAGCAGTGCCCCCACGCCCCAGGGACCATTTCACGTCTTGCTGCTGGGGTCCTGCATTGTAACGCCCACTCGATGGAGGTGGGGGGTGCAGGGCCGCGGGTCCCATGCTTGGATCACTGTCCCCACTCAAGGGTGCCTTCTGGTGTAAGGACCAGCCTGAGGAGAGCTTTGTGGAAGCTACTACAGAGTCTCAGGTCCTGTGCCCACCAAGGCTGCCCAACCAATCACCTGTTGCCTTAAAATACGCCATGCTCACTGGCCATGCTGCTGGTCTACTACTAGTGGCAGCACAGCTCTGCTCTCTGTAGCCTGTCATGCTGGGAGTTATAACTTAGGATAGGCTGGCTAAACGTAGCCTGTCTACAGGGGAGGATGCTTGAGGTTGCCCTCAGCTCTGAAGGGCGGCATCTACAGTCACTTTCAGCCATGGGAGTTGCAGGACTACAGCTCAGAGACATGTGTCTTAGCCCCAGAGAAAGTGCATCTGGCCCGTGGGAGAGTGCCATGGGGATGGCTTGCCAATTGCCCTCGCAGCTCCTGGAAGCACAGGGTAGCAGGTGGGAAGTCCTGGAGAGAGAGGAAGCCAACTCCGAGCAAACCTGCTACCTAGACCTGAGATTCTCAGTTGACATTCAAGACCACATTGCTGAGTATGGGCTTTCCTGTGGCATGTATGTAGCCCACACACCTGTGAGCCAGCCAGACAGGCATCCCTGTCAGTACCTGACACAGGTGCAAAATGAAACCGCAAAGGTCACACGATTATCCAAGGTCACACAGCCACCTAGACCTGGGAGTGCCTTTACCCCCACCCACCCACCCCCAGTTCTCCCAGAGGAGCTGTGAGCCTGTTTTGGAGGACACCCAGCAAAGCAAAGGCCATGGCCACATCCACCCTTAAGTTCTGTGAGCAGGGCATGGCCAAGTAGTGTGCCCAGGCCCTAAGACGCTTGGAGTGCAGTCACCATGCTGCCACAGGGCACATCTGGGCCAGTCAAGGCAGGGCCTCAATCACTTTCACTAGGAGATGTGATCTGAGCTACCATGAGGACCTCTCACACAATGTTCTCTGAGAACATGCTTGCTTTGCATGTCTGTTCTCTTCCCCACCAGAACCTGGGAAGGTCACTGCTGGTGCCACGGTCAGTACACGGGTGGCTGAGTGGTGACACAGGCAGGTGACAGAGGCCAGGCCAGGCTCTGGTGTACATGTTGATACCACATTTCCCAAGTAGGACAAGACAGACAACTTTGCAGGCCAAGCAGATGGGGGAGGAGGCACTTGGATTTAATGACTCTGGCAGTCAGGAAGGCTGTCCTTTGGGAGCCTGCCCTGTGCTCACAGCCCACCTGTATGCCACATGCACCCACACCTGACCCATACACGCACAGGTCCCAAGCACCACAGTGGAGGCACCGTGGTAACCCCTGCAGGAGCCTTTCCTGAGAGACTTAGTCCTTGAGGTTGTAGTTGCGGATCCTGGGGTGACGCAGGCAACTTGCAGGTTTTGCAGGATGAGACCTACTGGGTCTTGGGGGTGTGGCCTTTGGCTGAGCTTCCATCTTTAGGCCTTTGATGACAAAGGCTCCTTGCGTGGGGACCGTGCTCAGGTCAGCCTCCTGGAGACAGCTAGTTGCTGGAGGTGCTGGACGCTCTAGGCAGAAAGCAGAAAGGCGCAGATTAGGAACACAGCAAAGGAGGGAGGCTGTGCCAGAGCTGGTGGTGCCGCCAGCAGCCCCTGGGACTGCTCATCTTGCGTTCCTTTGCAGGAGCCCTTGCAGACCAACAGGCCCTCCAGTGACTTCGCCCTGCCTACAGGCAGCAACTGTACTAGGGTCCTGTTTGGGTCCAGTGCAAGAGGTCTGTGTGGGTATGAGCTTCACATAAGCTTTGCTGAGCCTGCCAGCACTCTGTAATCTGGCTCTGGAAAAAAACAAAACAAAACCCTGAGCTTCTTTGAGCATTTCCTAAGGTGGGGTGTGCATGTGGCTCCATCTCCCGAGTAGCCCAGGTAACCCCCAACAACAGCCTGTGGTCCTGTCCCTCTGCCCTACCTCCACAGGGACCTGAGGTTGGTAGTGCTCATGGGCACTTGTGACCACCCAGCATTCCTGACAGACACGAGATGAAGCTCATGGCAGTGTCCACCTGAGGCATAGGATGGGTGTCTTTTGTCTTTTGTGGTGATGGGACTTAGGAAAGTGCCTACAGCTGAGCCACACCTTCGCTTTACATGTGACCATCAGTGTCTTTTGAGCTTTCCTGATTTTCAGTCTTTTAAACTAAAAATGTATTAGCCGGATGTGGTGGCACACACCTGTAGTACCAGCACTTGGGAGGCAGAGGCATAGAGGCAGGTGAATCTCTGAGTTCAAGACCTGCCTGGTCTACATAGTGAGTTCCAGGCCAGCTGGGGCTGCAGGGAGACCCTGTCTCAAAAAGACCAAAAAAAGAAAAAAAGAAAACCCACTAAAATGTATTTTGTAAGACAACCAAACATTATTCCACTCCATGTAAAGTATGCAGCAGACCTGCCCTTCCTCATAAGCCTGGCCCTTATGAGCCGTTGAGCTTGGGGACCTGGACCTCCCTCTTGTGAGAGGTGACATGCATAGCCTATGCGGTATTGATGAGTCCATATCTCCCTGACCCCCGTGGACCTGGCGCATGCCAAGTGGGCATTGGATAGGTGACTGACTGAGGGAGAGTGCAGGTACAGCACCCAGCTGGCATCCACAGCACCAGGGAGTAACAGGCACCCCCACCCCCACCCCTCTTCCTGTTCTGGGTAATTCTGCTTGCAATAGGGGTGGCGCTGCTCCTCCCCCTTCCCTGCATCTTTGAACCAGGTCTTGCTTTGTAACCCAAGCTGGCCTTGAACTCATGGCAATCCTCCTGCCCAAGTCTTGGGGGGATGGGATTACAGGCGTGTGCCTCCATGTTCAGCTTTCTGAGAGAACCTATTGAGACACCCAGAACCAGCAATCTTCTCGGGGCTGTACTGCTGCTGCCTCTGCTGGGCCAGGCTCTGCTCTCTTCCTCAGGAGCCTGCTTGGGATCTGGGCCACTCCTGCTGGTTCTCCAACGTCCAGACCACCCCTCCCCTCTACACAAATGCTCTCACCTCTGCCCCTTCCCAGTCACCAGCTGTCATGGCACCTGGTGGGGCCCTGCCCCCTGTCCTCTGAGTCTCCCAGTAGGCAGTGGGGAGGGAAAGCATCACAGAGAGGACTTCATGCTGGACCCTCTTGCTGACCACCTGAACAGGCAGGGCAAGGGCCAAGGATGGGACTAGTTGAGCATAGTTGACTAGGTGGGCACAGTGGAAATCGTTCATCAGTCTAGCCAGTGCCAGGCAGATGCAGGGCAGGGAGGGCCTACTCACCCCCCACCCCCACCCCAAGCAGGCCTGGCTAGAGGAAGAACAGGACACTCTGCTTTGTGGCCTCTGGTCTCTCCTTTGAGTCCTCCCTATGGGAAAGAGGCAGGGACCTGGCCCAGCTCCCAGGCCTCCAGGGCAAGGAGCCCTGGCTTGGCTACTCTGTGACTAGGAGGCATGAAACTGGATGTCAAACCTGTCTGTCTGGGGCCTGAGTCCTTGTGACCTGGGGTCTGGTCCTCACCGGTGCTGACCCAAGATCTAACTCGGTGCTGTCTCCTACTCACCCCACTCTGCCTAGCTAGAATTCCTTTCTCATTTGGGCTCCCAAGGAGGCCTCAGGGAGACAACTGGATATACACTTTGCAAGGCAGAGGCCCCTGCACAACAGCCTACTGCTTGATCTGCTCTGCCTCTGGTCCAGCACCCAGCTTGGAGAAGGTTCTAGTTCGAGCAATTTCAGGCCTTCTAGCTCCTAACTGAAGAAGAGGCACTGAGCCTTATGGGTCCTTATGTGCAGGGAGCTGCAACTCCATGATCCATTTCCTTCACTGCACTTTTGATGCTGGAGTCTCAGAACTGATTGCATTCAGGCACGGAATGGGCCTAGCTTTTGTCTGCACTGGAGATGCTAAAGTGCCTGACCACCAAAAGGCAGTGTTTTCTTGGCTTCAGTAAATTTTCTTGCCCCTGAGCCACCTCCTAGCCCCAGGAGCCACTATGAGGGCCACTGTCCCAGCTGCCTGGCTCCTGGGTATGATGTGAGCTCTCAGCTCCATGGTTGCCCTGCTATGCTTTTTGGGAAGGGCTGACTGGTGAGGCCTGTGGGCTCTCCAGAGCCTGCTCCAGTGCCCGAGAGAGTCTGTCCTGGGCCCTGGCTGCAAGTCAGGACTGAGACCAAGTTGTAGCCCTGACCACAGGTGACAAGACCTTTCCAGCTTAACTTAGGCTCCACTGGTCCAGCCAGTCCTGTATCTGGGGTTAACTGAGCTTCAGTGAAACCACTCCTCAGGTCACTGTGTGTACCCTGGGCACTGGCCCGAGTTCCTCTTTCCATCAGTGCTTATCAGTTAGGTCCTATTAAATACTCTCTCCTGCCTCCAAACCCTTTGAGGCTTCCTGCTTCCTCCAAGGTAGAGTCCAAGCCTTCAGTGTGGTCTGCGTGGGTAGAGATCACCTGGCTTCCCTGGTCCTGGTGTTTACATGCAGTGATGGCCTGCTACTTCCACTCCTGCATCAAGCCCTCTGCTCTGTGTTTCTTTCTAAACGAGCCTTTGACCTCAGGGAGTCGGATGCTACCCAGCCCTAAATGTTGACTCTGCAGTATCATCTTGGGGAACCTGAAGCTATGTGGCCCATAGTGCCTGCTCCTTACTTCTATGGCCCCTCGCAGTGTGGACACCATGTTCCCCTGAGCTGTGCCACAGTAGGAGAGCAAGAATCTGCATTATTGACACTGCACTGGGGTCCACAAGAGGAAGACCTGGTGGCTTGGTCCTACTGTCCCTCCTGAAGGTCATTCTGCCAGATGTGGACACTGGACCACCTGTCTCTTGGACTATACTCCCTGTGGCAAAATAGCTGTCTGTGCAGCACAGGGAGTTCACAGAGAGGCTGTTTCCCACAGGTACTTGCCTGTGCCAAATGACCCTAAGTGCCCAGTGTGGACAGCGGCCCTCAGTGTCATGTCTGGATAACCACCTGGCCTGACTCTAGTCTGCCTGGTGGGGGAGTGGCAGGGCTGAGGTCAGAAGTATCAGGTGCAGAGGCAGGGGGTGTCCAGGAACGTGGTAGGTGTGTCAAGCCGTTCTGGAAGCTATGAACTTGCTTCAGGAGCCTCAGCCCCTTAGGTACCTGGCATAGGACTCTGCTCCAAATATCCAGGGACCCAGATTGTTCAGATGGTGTGTAGCACTGTCAGACAGGCTCTGAGATGACCAACTTAGGTTTGGCAGGCCACTAGATAAAATTTGTGACAGAGAACTCACTTGTATAGTTTCCTGAGCAGGCCAGGGCTTAAGAGGGGCTGTTGTGTCCTGACAGCCATACTGGTAGGAGCAACCCTTCACTGCCTGCACCTTACTAGCAGGAGCCCTTCGCGTTGTGGCGTCTCCAGGCCTCTGTACCTCGGCTGTTCTTTGTTCCCCTAGCCCAGGTTAGCTGTGTGAAGCAATGCTCCCCATCTACCAGTGTGGCCTTGTGGGCAGCAGCCACTGGCCACGCTCACACAGGCTGCCAAGCTTGCTTAAGACATTGTGGGCCACTGGCCAGGCCAAAGGCCTCTCCTGAAATCTCTCTCTGGAGGTCTGGCTGATGACCCTTTGGACCCCATGGACTGCTTTCTGTCCTCCTGGTAAGAGCAGAGGGATAGCATGCCTGCCCCACATGCAGGGAGGGTGAAATTACACCAGGCAGCAGGCCTGGGGGGCAGGGCCAGGGGCAGAGCTGGTGCCCTGGGCCTGGCGGGAGCCACATAGCTCAACACAAGGTCTCTGTCCAACCTCAGCTTCAGCAGGCGGCTGCATGAGGGATGGGAGACCCGCTCCCCCAAACTGCAAGGTGGGAAAAGCCCCAGGGAAATGAGTGGATATGGCCTCTTGGGGAGGCCAGCCTCATCCAACCTGATGCTTACCACCTCATGGGGCCTTCAGGGTGGGTGGATGGGGGTCTGTGTACAGGTCTAGAACAAACGGGCCTTTCTGGGCTGGGAGAAGGGGTGCGGGAGGCCGGATAAAGATGGACATTGTCTGAAGCCATACTCCTCTGGGTTAGGGATGCAGGGTTGGTACTATAGGTCAGGGAGCCTGAGGGGGGCCTCTTCCTGGGAGCCATGCCTGTGGGGCTTGGGGCTAAGGGTTGTCCCTCCTACCTTAGTTGCTCTTAGCCCCGTTTGTGCCATTGAGTGCTCAGGACAGACAGAACAGGTGGGCTGACCACAGGGCCTGAGACATCCCGAGAACACATGTGCCTTCTGGATGCATGGCCAGATCCACTGAGTGAACCTCACAGATGGAATTCACCAAATAGTCAAGGCTCCAGGAAAGCCGGCTGGGTCTCTCCCACACTTCCCATGTACCTTCTTGTGTTTGGTCCATACTGGTTTGAGGGCACACTGTGCTATAACAGTGAGCCATTTCCAAGTTCTTAGCTAGAAACCAGAGTTCACTGTCCTCTGGGCTAGGTAGGATTCCTTGACTGTGGCATTTGTAGAGGTATAGGCAGGCCACTTTGTCCGGTTAAGAGGTCTCCCTGGACACTACCTCCACTACCCAGGACACTTGGGAGTGGGTACTGGGAGTTCTGAACGTCCGTCCTGCACTGCCACCCTATGGACAAGAGCACTCCCGACTCTCCCTGCTCATCGAAGTCTCCAGCATCCAGTGAGGACGTTCAGCCTGGACCCAGAGTGGGGCAAACTGTGCATGTTGTTGTTGTTTGTTTTTTGAGACGGGGTCTCTCTATGTAGCACTAGTTAGCCTGGAACTTGCTATATAGACCAGGCTGGTCTGGAACTCAGAGAAAGCCACCTGCCTCTGCCTTCTGAATGCTGGCTGGCTCAAACTTTGCAGGTTTACAGTTTAAAGTTATACCACGGATTTCAGGAGAGTAACTCTTGCCTGCAGGTGGAACAATGTCACAGTGTGCATAGCAGAGCCTTCCATTCATAAGAACATAACCAAGAAACACCAATCCCTGTTTCTCCCAAGTAGTCACTCCCACCCTCAGTGTCAGGTCTGACAGGAAATGCGACCTTTGCCCCTACTAGAATGATTAGTTCTGAAGCTTAATTGGGAAGGCCACATTTCCCAGTCCTGTGAGCACAAGTGGAATGCTTCGTTTCAGAGCTGCTGCCAGGGTGCCCACCGGTAGTTCCCCAAGACAAGCCAGCTCCGGCTGCCGTGGCTTTGAGAAAAGAGCCTGATCTGGATCCACAGGTGTGCGGTATGCATGTGCATGTGAGTGCATGCTCTCATGTGTATGTGCAGGAGGAATGCACTGCTCAGTGCACCACTGCTGACTAGGTGTGTCTGACTAGGTGCATGGTACTTTTCACAGGTAGTTTTCAAGGAGGAAGAATTCTGGTTCTGAACAAAGGCCCACAATGAAAACACTCATGTAGGAAGTTCTGAATTTGGAAGAAGAAATTTTAGGGAGTAGTCGATTCCTATCTTTCAAATTATTTATAAAATTAGAAAAAGTGAAAGCTGGTGTCGGTCCAGTGGCATACATCTATAACCCCAGCCTTGGGTGTAACAAATAGAGGATCATGAGTTCAAGTCCATCTTAACCTGTCTCAAAACCCCCAAATAAATGTGGGTCTGGTGAGATGGCTCAGTTGATAAGTGCTTGCTGCACAAGTCTACAACCTGAGTTCGAGTCTCAGAACCTCTATCTGGATGGAAGGAGAGATCCCACTCCACAAAGTTGTCCACTGACCCCCACGCAGTTGCTGTGGCATGCACACACTCTTCTTCCATTGCACATATACACATACCAGTAATAATAAAAAGTAAGTGCAGCTGCTACAGCTGTGTACAGGCAAACCAAACCAGTGTTTGGCAGCACATCCCTGGGATTCCCACACTCTGGAGGTGGAGGCAGAAGAATCAGAAGTTCAGAGTCAAGTTTGAGGCCATCGTGGGATGCATGAGACCCTCCCTGCCTTAAGAACAACAAAGCCTGGCATGGTGGCCTGTGCCTTTAATCCCAGCACTCGGGAGGCAGTGGCAGGCAGAACTCTCTGGGTTCAAGGCCAGCCTGGTCTACATAGCAAGTTCCTGGGGCTACAGGGAGACCCTGTCTCAAAAAAAAAAAAAAAAAAAAAAAAACCAAAAAAACCCAAACCCAAACCAAACCAAACCAACCAACAAATATAGGTAAATCAAACCAAATCAGTACAAAGCACGTTGTTGCCAAGTCAAGTTCACTGCCTTACTGCAAGGCCGGCCCACACCAGAGCGGCCCTTGCTTTAATGCCCTCATTTTAGCACAGAGGAAGTTCTGGGCAAGGTTTAACGCCTGTCTGTGATGACAAATCTGGGCAATCCAGGGTTATAAATTAACTTTTTTCAGTTCTGGGGTGGAGCTCAGGGCCCTGTACATGCTCAGCACACACTCCAGCACTGAGCTGCGGCCCCAGCTAAGAGAAATTCTTAAGCTTGATAAAGGTCCCATTGAAAAAGCACACAGCAATCATCACATTTAGAAACTTTAACCTAATCCCCTTCAATTTAGGGACGGATACAAGACAACCACTGTCATCACTTCTGTTACCATGGTGCCGGGGGCCCAGCCAACTCTTAAGGAAAAAGGAGTGCATGGATTGGAAGAGAAGGAGAGGGAAGACATCACCTTCTGCTTAGCAGGAGAAAGAATAAAGCCAAATTATTAGGGTCCCAGGAGCTCCGCAAGGTGAGCAGATCCACCTACGTGCCAGAGCACATCTGCAGCAGCTGAAGGCCCCACAGCATCAGGAACAGCAAAGTCAAGGGCCTGCTGTCCCCCTGCAATAACGTTTCCTGGCACTGCCAGAGTTCCAGTACCTGGGCCTGTATGAGGACACCAGCTTCCCACTGGCAGGGCTTTCCTCAGCCAGGGGGCAGGACATGCTGCCATTGTGGCCTAGGCAGGAGCGGTCCTCCAGGGGCCAAAAGCCTGCTCACCAACCCAGGAAGCCCAGGTAGTTTGCAGTATATACTAGTTTTAAAGTTAGGGCCCTGTTTCTTCAAGTAGAATCTCCAGAGCAGGGGGCTGGAGAGAGAGTTCAGTGGTTTAAGAGCACTGGCTGCTTTCAGGGGACCAGAGTTCAGTTCCCAGCCCCCAAATGACAGCTGACAACGATCTGTAACTCCAGTTTTAGGGGGTCTTTGCCTTATTTTGACCTCCGAGGGCACTATACAACACGGGTGCACTTACACACAGGCAGGCAATACATTCCTACACATAAAATAACAATTTTTTTTTTGTCTTTTTGAGACAGGGTCTCCCTGTAGCCCCAGCTGGCCTGGATTTGCTATGGAGACCAGGCTGGCCTCGAATTCACAGAGGTCTGCCTGCCTCTGCCTCCCAAGTGCTGGGATTAAAGGCGTGCACCACCAAGCCAAAATATTAAACAAAATATTTAAAAAAAAAAAAGTCCCCAGAGCAGACTTGAAGCAGAGCTGCTGGTGGAAAGGTTGGACTCCAACACCTGATCTGCCCAGGGCCTCCAGCCTACAGGAGCTCCTGGCCCGGCCTGTCTGTAGTACTGGCCTCCCTTGGAGTCCTTAAGTGCCACCAAAGAGAACAATTAAGAGGCCTCCAGAGGCTTTAGGAGAATTACAAGCATCCTGCAGGGACCTGCTTTAGCCACTAAACCACAGGTGCGGGCAGGATGGGGCTGGCAGCTTTCCTACACAAGCTCATTTTTGTGACAGATCCCGATCTCTGACCAGAAAGAGTGGTGCAGTGTGTGTGTGTGTGTGTGTGTGTGTGTGTGTACCACAGCATGTGTGTGGAGGCTCGATGACAACCTGTAGGAGTCAGTTCTCTTCCTCTACATGTGAGTTCCCAGGGGGACAGAACCCAGGTTGTCAGGCCTTACCCTGCTGAGGCATCTCACAGGCCCCTTAAATCATTTTTAATGATTTAATAATCATTATTGACTTACATACAATAGAGGCCATCTTTCCAGGATTCCCTTTCTGTAGAACACCTACTCAAACGCGTTGGAAATTCTTCTTGTTTTCCTTTTTTTCCTGAGACAGGGTTGTTTGCATTCCAGGCAGGCCTCAAACTGTGTGTGTGGCCAAGAATGATCTTTAACTTCTCATCTTCTGCCTCACCTCCTGAGTGCTGGGATTACAGGCCTGCACCGTCAGTCTTGGTGGGTATTTTACGTGGGCATCGTGCATGTGCATCTAGACAGGCACTCTACCAAATGAGCTATTCCTGAGACCCAAGTTGTAAAGTTCTAAAAGTTGTAAATGTTCTGGATGAATCTTTAATGTTTTTGCTTCCTTGAGATGAAAATACCACTATGTGCCCAGGCTGGCCTCAAACCTGTAATCCTCCTGCCTTAGCCTCTTGAGTGCTAGCAGTATAGATATGTACCACCAGGCCTGGCAACCTTGTTTTGGAGTGTCAGGATTAAACTGGGGCCTTCCACCATGTGAGATAAGTGCCTGTCACTGATACACCCCAGCCCAAGTTCACTTTTCAGCTTAGTTTTTTTTTTTTTTTTTTGGTCTTTTTGAGACAGGGTCTCCCTGTAGCCCCAGCTGGCCTGGAACTTACTATGTAGACCAGGCTGGCCTTGAACTCACAGGGATCCACCTGCCTCTGCCTCCTGAGTGCTGGGATTAAAGGCATGCGCCACCACACCCAAGTCAGCTTAGTTTTTTTGTGGGTTCCTGGTGATGATAGTCTCTGTATTTTCTTTTTTCTTAATTTATTTGAGACAGGGTCTCACTATGTAGCCCTGGCTGGCCTGTACTCATAAAGAGCCAACCATGTCTGCCTCCTGAGTGCTGGGATTAAAGGCCACTACACCATGCCTGGTCCTGATTTTTATTTTATTTTAATTTTATGTGTATGTGTGTATTGCCTGTGTGTGTGTAAGTGCACCCGTGTCATGAAATGCTGGAGGAGGACAGAAGAGGATGTCAGATCCCCCGGGACTGGAGTTACCGACAGACAGTTGTTAGCTGCCATGTGGGCACTGGGATTTGAACCTGGGTCTTCTGTAAGAACAGCCAGTGTTCTTAACTGCTGAGCCATCTCTCCAGCCCCTGGTCCTGAATTTTTTAGAAATATATTTTAAAAATAATGTGTATGCAGCCAGGCATGGTGGCACACACGCCTTTGATTTCAGGAAGAGATGGATACTTATTCTAAACTATATTTTTAAATATAAGTGATTATAGCTGGGTGTGGTGGCGCACACCTTTGATCTCAGCACTCGGGAGGCAGAGGCAGACGGATCTCTGTGAGACAGAGGCCAGCCTGGCCTACATATAAAATTCCAGTCCAGTTGGGGCTAAAGGGAGACCCTGTCTCAGAAAGGAAAAAAAAAAAAAAAAAAGTCATGTGTATGTGTGTGTTTGCACATATGAGTGCTGCAATTGTAGGCTGCCGTGAGCTGCTGAAATGGGTGCTGGTCCTCGGGAAGGGAAGGGCAGCACACACTCTTCATCCCTGAAATGGGTGCTGGTCCTCGGGAAGGGAAGGGCAGCACACACTCTTCATCCCTGGACCATCTCTCTAGCCCCTCTGAATTTTTTTTTTTTTTGGTCTTTTTGAGACAGGGTCTCCCTGTAGCCCCACCTGCCTGGATTCACTATGGAGACCAGGCTGGCCTCAAACTCACAGAGATCCACCTGCCTCTGCCTCCCGAGTGCTGGGATTAAAGGTGTGCCCCACCACGCCTGGCTAAATTTTTTTTTAAACCATGAATGCTTGTGATTTCTTTAAACTATACCATGAAAATGTTTACGTTAAAAACGAAAAGAGTCTTAGACTGTAATCCCAACACTTTGGAGGCAGAGGAGCCTGAGGATTGCCTCAAGTTCAGGAAAAAAACAAAACAAAACAGGAAAGAGCAAAGGGGTAGGGAGGGGTGAGGGTCCAGGTGAGAAGATCCTATATGCTTGGTACTGGCCGGAGTGGAATGTAACAAATGACAACACAGTCACTAACCCCACCCAGCCCTAAGACTTCCCTGCCTGTCAGGCCTGGGAGGAAAGAGCATGTATGTAGACGTAGATCTTCAATCTCTTTGATGCTGGGGTGTCTGGGTAGCAGCTCTGTCAGAAAGGGGGCTGAGACCTTGTGCTGTAAACATCCAGTGTGGAAGAGGGACTGATGGCGTCCTCTTCAGACATTCCTCATGCATTTTACACGTGCATTCCTTCTGTGTATTCATTCACACTTTCGAGTCAGCAAAAGTTCTGCCTCTGGGAGGTTGGTAAGGGTACAAACAGTGGGAGAGCTGTGACAAGCACTGTCCCTGTGCAGTCAGCAAGGCTCCAGCACACAGCTCAGCCACACAGCCTGTGGCACCATGGTTAATAATAAGTACTTTGGTCTTTGTCCTGACTTTCTAGCACACAGTTGCTAAAACATGGTGGGGTCATGCCGCAGTATCTACTGCAGGCCACCTCCCTCCTTCACACCAAAATATGCTCCAGTCCTCATACAAAATGTCTCCATGTTACACAGAAGTTTTGCATGGCCCCCACGACTCTAAATCACCTCTAGATTCCTTAGAATTTCTCATATAAATGCTCTGTAAACACTTGTTGCAGTGTGTTGGGGGAGATGACAGAATAAAGCATGTATGTGCTTAGTACAGACATAATTTAAAAAAAAATACTTCCAACCCATTCTGGTCAGCCGTGGAGACCCTAAGGCTGGGAGTGGGCCACGGGAGGAGGAAGTCTGGAAAGGGGTCTCTTCTGTCACTCATCTCCTTTGCTTGCATTTACTCTTATTCGGAAGCTTCTGGAAGGCCCCTAATACTAGCACTGACTGCCGGGGGCCGGGGGCTGTAAGTCTTGGATCAGAAGGTGGCAAGCTTCAGTTCCATCCCCACATGGGAGGTCAGGCAGCGCTGCCAGCTGGTCTGCCCTGTCCAGTGGAGCTCCACAGAGACATAGAGAAGGGCCTGAGAGCTCTCGGTCTGCCTGCCGGAGCCATGGGAGCTGCAGCCCGTGCCACACTCTCATCCAGCTGTTCTGGAGATGTGTCCTCTTAGGACAAGAAGTGAACGTCCCCTAGCTCTCAGAGCCGTTCTATGGACAAACCCAGGAAGGGGTCATGGGACCCTGGGTTGGTCCGTGGGGCTGGTCAGCACAGGCAAGAGCTGTGCTGTTGGGTCTGCAGGGGGGAAAGCTGGTGAACTGACCTGTGCGACCGGCTCCAGGAAGGCGGTATCAGTGTAGTTAAACTGCAGGACAATCACCAGTGTGCACAGAAACAGGAGTTGCTTGGTGTAGGGAAAAAAAGTCACCTTTTCTTTCCGTTGGTGTGGTGTGGGAAGAATAGAGAGAACGGGGCCTTTTCCCTGTATGCCCTTCAGTCTGGTTTGGTTTGAGACCAGGTCTCACCGCAGCCAGGCTGGGCTTGACCTTGCAGCAGCCTTCCTGCCCAAGGGCTACCTATGAACAGGTGTGAACCATCATACCTGGCTCCATTTAAGATCTTAACTGTTTCCTCTTCAGACCACACATCACAGAGCACCAGAGTAAGTGTGCCGAGCCTAGAACACCAAGCTGGCTTTACCAGCAGGAGGAGGCCAGGCTGGAGGAAACAGAGCTAGGGGTTTAGGTTTTTGCTTTTTCCTGTGCTGGGGTTGAACCCAGGGGCTCACAAATGCTTGGCAAGTACTCTAGTACTGAGCTATATAGCCTGAATCATCAGGTCCAGGATTTTTT